GTCTATTTTTTATTTTATCACTTGCAGTGACTGGTGATTGACAGTGTAAAATGTTTGTATGTTTTGAACATTATATTTGTTCCAAAATTATATCTCTGAATTGACAATAGTTTGGAGTTATAGAACATGCCTATTTTCTGAGTGGACAGAACTATGTGAGAGATAGATGGTCTGCTATCTTATAGCAGATTGAGGTTATTTTAGATTAAAAAAAAAGGTTATATGTTTTAAATCAATATTATTTATGTCTAACTTTAGGATTATTTTTATTTTTATTTTAATCAATGTGAATTTTGGCAGTACTAAAAAGCTGAAGAAGGCTGAACAAATTTGTTTAAAAAAATATAAACCATTGACATTTGAATGCTTCAAGATAAAGATTCAAATTTATAGCCTTCCCTTTGCTATTCAGTCTCTGCAAATTTCAGTTTTATTTGAACTTTGATTATCTAATTGGCACTGTATCAGAGATTGTCTCTGACATATTCAATAATTCATTCCATATTTATGTATGCATATACATAAATAGAAAGAGAGGGATACACATATGTGTATAAAAATCTTCTACTTACACGTAAGAAACTGTCCAAGGAACCATTCTCCATGTATTCCGTGACAATCATAACTGGTTTACCTAGATATATTACAAATTAAATATATAATCATTATTAGAGTTCAACAGATATGCAATGAACATATATAATACACTTTGATACACCTGATAAATTTAAAAAAGTAAAAATTTCTTCTGCCTTCCCAATTTTGCAACATTGCAATTAAAAAATTAAATTTCAATAGAAAATAACTTTTTTAAAGAAATTAAGGTTTGTTTTCTGACTAAGAGCTCATAACCTATAATACCTAAATTGGCTTATTTGGCATGGATTTTCATGAACACCAAATATGACCTTTTCTTCACTTTAATTAAATCTTAGCTGATCTACAAAATCAAGTGTTTCTGCCTTTAAGCTCAAGATATAGCCAAGAATTCCACAATCATTTATACTTTCTACAAGTAATTACAGAACTGTGTGCTAGATATTCTCTTGTGCTAGTTAGTCAGAAATAAATCAGACCCTGCCTTCATGGGTTCAACATGTGAATTGCACAAAACAATTAAGACTAATAATTATAATATTTTTATCTGTATACATTTAACACATTAAACATTATAAAATCCATGCTATGTTTAAAATGGAAATAAAATTAAAATTGCTGTTGGCAGTAACTTATAGCAACCATGTTGGAATATGTGGCCTTAAATGCTATTAAATATTTTAACAAGCATATAGATTCATTTAATAGCCCTTTATAAAATGTACAAGATTGTGGTCTGGTTATTTTATATGCACTAACATATTATTTATCATTTCCATTTACACGTATAAAAACTAAGATATAAAGAGGATAATAAATTACTCTACACAACACAGGGAATAAGTTACAAAGCCAAATACTGCAACCTGAATATACTAGGTTGTTACTTTTGGAAACTCATCCTGAGAAAAACATTTAAGGTATATAAAAAGGCATTAAACACAAAGGCGTTACACATAATAATATATATATAGATCTACAAATGAACGTATGTTCAACTATTGGTAATGATTTAGACAATTGTGGGTGACAATTATATGATTATTCTGAATTTAAGTGATTGAAGACTGTAGCACTTTAAACAATTGTTACACAATAATGTTATGTGAACAAAGCTGAAAACATAGTAACTACATGCGTCATGACAACTATGAAAATAAGTAATATAAAACAAACATTTCAAATACAAAAGACATATGAAATGGATATAGCAAACACTAGTAATTTTTCCATATTTAGAATCATGTAGAATTACTCTAGTACTTGACATAATGATTTCACTTCATCTTCACATCATCCTTATGTGTTAGGAATATGCATTATTACCATTGTGTTTCCTTAGCGGAAATCACTGTGGATTTAGGAAACCAGCTGAGGTCACACAGCTAGTGCTGCAGCAGATCCCCAACACAGTTGTCTCTGACCTGCAGGGATGAATTTCTGCATATGTGTATTCTCCATAAATCAGTATGCATTTCTGTGTTCCTTTCTTAACAGAATTCTAGGAAGAACACTATCTAGCAAAATTCACATATATTACCACACTGTAATTCTCTTCATTTATTGTTGCTATGACATTGTTTTAGTTATAAATCCATCATTTACAAAGGAAGAAAAATCATCCTTCTTCCTGGTGTAGAAGATTTGAGTTAAGAATGAGTACTGATGGAAGACTTTGAGCAAATAAGAGATTTTTCACAAACTTCAATGCATAGTTAAGTGAAGAGCACATATAGTTTTTCCCCTCAAAATATTTTGCCATTCTCATGATGGAAAATAACTTCCTTTGATTTTTTTTTTTCCTTTCATAGGTGAAAACTCTTAATTCATGCTGTTTGTGAATTATGGATTAGTACTGTGAAGATTATAATTCCTACATTTGGTACTTGAATGTTTCCCAAGCTGTATATTTTGTTTATTGAGGTAATAAAATTATTTAAATTTTATGAAATTGTTCAAATAATTTTATATATGTAACAACCAATTGATACATCAATCTATTTTCTATTTAACAGAGTAACTTAGTTATATTTTGTGAGTAACATTATAAATGTAGTCTGATGATGTCTGAAAAGTCAATTTAGCCAAAACTTTAAGTCTCCAGAATTTGCTTCTTCAAAATTGTAATTGAGCTTTGATTTTAAAATATTAAAGATAAAAGGGAAGATTCAATATCTCCTTGTAAACTTCTCTGACTCCTGAACTGGTCAATGAAATGCCTAAAGACTGATCCCAGAGACCTGACCTGAAGGGATGCATTTCTGCATATGTATATTCTCCATAAATCAGTATACATTTCTGTGTTCCTTTCTTAACAGAATTCTAGGAAGAACACTATCTAGCAAAATTCAATGCATACCTAGAATGTAGTCATTGATATGTTGCCTCATGCAGGCCACTCTCAGTTATAGGGGCCTGTGATTGTGTTTGCACACAGTACTACCCAGACCTTTGCTTCCCTCTTCCTTCTGGATCCCAGCCTTATGACCATTTCATTTTTTGTTGACATGTCTAGTAGAATGTTTGGCAAGGGAAATGAAAATGAAAGTAGCTGAAAATCCAAACCAGTCAATTAAGCCAAAGCCTCATGACCATTCAGAAATAGGATCAGGCTGAATTTAGCTATACAATTTAGGTATTTATACACACACAGTTCTAACAATACGAAATGTGGTTGGAAATCATAAATTACCAGCTCATCTGCACACAATGCAATGTGTTTCTATTCAAGTTTGGATACTCTTTCATGTGCATTTTGATTTAAAAGTGACATCATCAAGAACCTTTATCATTTACTGCCTTCAGAGATACTAAAACAAGTCTCAGTATGCATACTGAACTGAACTCAATTAAGTTATTGCTGGGTGACTGGATGAAATAAAATTTTATCAAAAATGTGCAAAACAAAATTTGCAGGGGAATTTTGCTTTTGTTCTTAAACTTATTTATGAGTACACATGAAATCATGATTTTTTTCATAATTGAAAGCTTAAGGGAAGCGTATCAGCATGTTATAATCAGTTCATTTTCCCAACTATCCCTAGTGGCTCAGAGATATTACTAATCATTGAGCCACTGTTTGAAGACAGAAGAAACGTGTTTCAAAATGCCGGAGAACTCCAGGTTCAGCTCTACTTATTTCACCTCAACCTTCCTAATCACCTTTTCTATAAAAAGAAGAATCAGATTAATGTGAGACATAGCAATACATAGAAAAGTTTATTGCAATCATCAAATAAACGTTACTTTAATATAGTTTATGCAAATGTAAAAATTACCGATGACTGCAATATCACAAATTTTGAAATTTAATTCTTTTCCAAAAGAAATGCTACTAACTCCTATTAACAGTAAGTGTGTCTTACATATCCAATTCTTTTTTTCAAAAGTCTTAAACACAATCTGGTATGAGATTAAGATATTTTGCCTTATTATCCCACACTCAATATTAGTGTCATGTAACCATAGTCAGGGTGGAAGCAAAAAGCAGAAGCAAGAGAAAGAAAACTGACAAAAATTGACAAAATATGCCTCACTATTCCCAGGAAGGAAGTCTTAAGTCACCTTTGACTAGAAAGAAAAGGTTTTATGATAGATTTTCATGTACTATCCCTAACTGATTCATGGAATGCTCTGAGTTAGAGTATTTTTTCCTGTGAGCTTCCTATTAAATCATGTAAAATACAGACAATCTTTTCAAAATTCCATTTTAATCAAGACATTATTCATGTTAAGAATAACCTCTGTTATAGCCACTGGTTTATGAGTTAATGAGCACAGGGGCCAACTCCATTTTGACTTCAGTTAAATATTTATTACCTGGCAGGGTGCTATTTACAATTGATTATATCATGTTTGTCATTGAAGGCTGATTAAAGATAACCTCTGCCTTCAAAATTAAGCTAAAAAACAGTTTCTCCAAATTTTCTTTAACCAACCATCTCTGTCAATTTAACACACCAAATGTTTTACACTCAGCTGACCTTAAAAGTTTTAAATGTATTGATGCTAATTTAAAACAAAGTTTAATATCTTTAAAGACAGGAAAAACATTCCAGCTCTCTGTTACTCCATTCACAGCTGATTTGCTTGGTAAGTATAATGACAAGTAGTGAATGTAGTAATATGAATGTGCTCAGTTTGATATTGCAAGAACAGCTTACAATTTTTTTTCTTTTCAAGTTTCTACCTTTTATTTTTCTTCTCTAATAGTAAAATTAATAACTTAGGTATAATAATGAATGGAAGTAATGATAGCAGGCTTCTTAATTCTATTTTTAAAGAAATGCTTTTAATATTTCACGATTGAATATGAGGTCTATAGGTGTGTTTGTGTGTTTATATACAATTATCAGACATACATATTTTCTATGTATGATGTGCTAAGAAAATATTTTAAGTTAAAATGATTGTTTTTTCTGCATTTATTGAGATTGCCTTTTTATTTTCTTTCTATTAATGTGACTTTCTTGGATGTTAAATATTGCACCAACTTTGCATGCTTGGAATAAACTAACAGGTATGATAAAGTATCATTTTTAATGCATTGCTATGTATGCCTTTAAAATTATTGCAATGTTATTGAAAATGTATTCATATGTTACACTGACCTGTGATTTTGCTTTTTGAAAATATTCTTGTGTGGGTTGGTGTCAAGATATCACTTGCCTCATGAGTTAGGAGTGTTTCTTTTTCCCCCCTTCTGAAAGTTTGTATAAGATCAGAACTACTCAGACAGCTATTACTCAAGTATGTAATTATATTTCTTCTTCCTTTAGAATAGATATTGTATTTTTAAACTTTTTAAAAGACATTATCTGGGCCCATGACATATTTTATAAGTTGAATTTGTTTTTCCAAAACTGTCAAAAACCCATCCTATCTAAAATTATTGAGGAAGTTACACAACATTCTTTAATGTTGAAGAAATAAGAAATCCTTTAAGCACATAAAAATAGCACTTCCTGCCTCACTTTTTTTCATATATCGAGTAGAGATTTTCTTAGTTTTGCTATGTGGGTGCTTAGAATGAGATGGCTTCAACTGATTTATCAGATTAAGGTCCTGAACGCATGATAACCAATGTTCAAAGTTTCAAAAATTGATTATCCTAACAAACTATTTCTGCACAGTATTAATAAAGTAAATATAACTATATATTGTCTATTAAGGTTATGACATGGGGTGTAGTACCCTTGAAACAAGTGCAGATAAAAGCTTTTTAAGAGAAGTTAACAGAAAATAGCACGAATTTCGCATTTTCTCTAAAAATGACATCTTATTCCAGTAATGTTTCCTTTTTGTATGTGGAGCAGATAGAAAGGTAGAAACAAATTACTAAGTTTTTTTTTTGTTTGTTTTGTTTTTTGTAAAATGGATTCTCACACCAATACAGAAATGTTTAAATTATTTAAAAAAATCATCTTAATGTTATGGTTTTGGCATTCTTTAGTTATGAAAGTTTATAGTTAAGTGCATTATTATTACTTTTTAAAATTTTCAGTAAATAATCCCTCCCCAAATAACAACGGCAACAAAAAACCCCACATCAATCTTATCTATGTAATTCCTTCTATTTCACTAAGTGAAAAGTGGCCAGTGGAGATCTTCTTGGAGTCGGAACATCATTTGACTAATGGTGTGATGGCAGAAATCTCAAACATTTGCTTAAAGAAAGTTCCATCTTTTTGAACTTCAACTAAAATTGATAACACATGTTAGTGCCAAGCTCTGAGCAGAGACTGTGCCCGCACCTCTCAGCTACTTTGAGATCAGAGACTCTCTCACCTTCTCTTATTTAAGACTATCAGGCTCAAAATGTACCATTAAAATTGTTTATGGCTCAATTTAAATAAATGAAAATATAATGATCGGATAAAGGGCTTTCTCCAAATGAGCTGAAAATTATACATTATAATAGATCTGGTGCTTCAAAGCACAATTAATAGCAATAATAAAAAGGTATTTTTGAGTAAAAATAAAAGGAATTGTTTTCAAGCATTTGCTTCTCTACTCCCAAGATTAACTGGTAAAACCTCAAGCTTGCCAGAAGTGGTAATTTAGATTTTTATAGCTCTATTCCACTTAACAATGCATTTCTACATAATCTTATTTGATCTTTAAAGTATCTGGAAATAGTAAAATAGAAATGCTACTTCCATGTTACAATTGAAGAAAGTGAGTTTCTGTGAATGGTCTGATATGCCAGATGTCTAATAACCAGTATGGTTGCATAAGACCTTGAACTTTGACCTTCTGATTTTTAATCTAGATAGCAATTGTATCTCTTATTTAAATGCTGTTTTGTTCATTAAATTTTAAGCTTTGCATCACTCTAGCTCTGTGTGTGTGTGTGAGTGTGTGTGTGTGAGTGTGTGTGTGTGTGTGTGTGTGTGTGTGTGTGGACTTTGAAGGTGGATTGGTTTAGCCTTTATATTGTTTCAGGAAACAAAGAAAATAATAGAAGTAGACTGAGTAACTTCTGGTGACAAAATTGTGTTACTCATATGTTGAGAGCAATGCATTACCTTTATTTCTAAGGCATTTCTATTTTCTGTCAGTTACAGGTGCCAGACTTAGAGCTTTTACATATGCCAGTAAAGGAGCTCAATATCTAATTCTCAGTCTGCTCTCTGTTATGCTTGCACTATATGAGATGACTGGGATTTATATAGTCAGATTTGGCAGCTTCTTACATGCCTATTTTACCAGGGAGATATATCAAATTTAGAACTTTTACCCTAAGAATAAGGTAGTTACAATCCATATTAGAATGTCACAGAATCAGGCGTGAATAAGGCATTAAATGCCTACTACTGATAATATTTAAAGGTCGTTCTTTTTCTTAATGTGTTTTTCCCCTGAAGTTTGGTCTTAGGGATTGTTTTATGGATTTCTTTGCCAGGTGACCATGATTCATATTTGATTATTTCATTGTTATATCTAAAGAAAACCTGCCACAATTATTATAGCTTAATGTTACTTACCATTCAGTAAAAGAATTACTAGAAAGTAGCTAGCAAAATATAACAACTTGTTTTCAAAAATTCTTAACACTGGAAGCAAAGAAATCTACTCATACTTGTTAATATAAGAGAGCTTATCAATAAGCTTAAATTTAAACCTAATTTTTACTTTCATAGTTACTTGCATCTTGTGTTAACATAGTGGCAGTTGTTGGAGAAATTAGGTGCCCATGTTAAAATGGAATCACTTTCTTCATTGCTCCCTGCGTGCTACAAGCAGTTTCACAATTCTACTCTGAAACGTGAATTCAGTTAAATGAACCAACACTGAAGACCTATTGGTAGAAAACGAGGGTGTTTTTTTTTTTTTAATATATTCTATTGATTTTTTACAGAGAGGAAAGGAGAGAGACAGAGATAGAGAGTTAGAAACATCGATGAGAGAGAAACATCGATCAGCTGCCTCCTGCACATCCCCCACTGGGGAAGTGCGCGCAACCCAGGTACATGCCCTTGACCGGAACCGAACCCGGGACCCTTCAGTCCCCAGGCCGATGCTCTATCCACTGAGCCAAACCGGTTCCGGCGAGGGTGTTTTTAAAAAATTCACTCATTCATTCAATCAGGCAAGCAATCTTTTATTTTCTAACATTAGTCAATTAAATACCTATTATGATTCAGGTTCTGTTTAAGTCGCTGATTATCAAATAACACAGTCCTTGCCTCCAATGAGAGTTTACATTTGTTTTAAGCATTAATGGCTATTAATTGGCCACTGAAAGTTTTTATGCTTGAGGGATGCCCTGCTATGTTCGAGTTTTTAGGGAAGATAAATAATTCAAATAAAATAAGTCAAATACAGTGATAAAAAAGTAAAAACACATTTTTGCCTAGAATTGGCAATAGAGGTGAAACCAACAGACCAAGTTACCAATGCCACATCTAGAACTTTCCAGTTAGACAATCTACTTGTTCTTTAGTTACCACTTGTTCAAATGTGAAATTGTAATATACTTAATTCACGGGATAGTAGCAAGAAAAAAATAATAATCTCCATACTACAATGTTGGGCATATAATAGCCAACTCAGAAAGAAGAACTTGTAAAAATTGAGAGTTAAAAGAAGAATGGTTGCAGAAGTTTAAATGCATTTCCTCTTCCAGCAGGGTTAAAGATATGAAGGACAACCACTTTGTAAGGATGCTATGAAGAAAAATAAATGACTAACTGATTATTAAAACACCATTGAGATATCATCCTATTCCATGGATGTTAAGTAGTTTGGTCTTACCCCGAAGGAACAAAGGGTTCATATATTTTCCTAATCTGTACCACTACTAAAAATGTTTTGATTATTAATTTAAAAATTTTTAAAGGTTTTTTTTTGTTAGAAAATATTTCAGTGTTACTAGTAGTATGGCCTAATGTATAGCAGTACAGAGAAAAAATGATTCTTATGTGACTTAATGTAGGCTTACACGTTATGGTTAAGTTCTTACATTGCTAAATTTTTAATCCCATTTATTATATAAGAAAACTATACCGAATATCAAAGTATATTTTGATTATTCCATGCTTTTCTGAGGAAGGAACTGCTGTTTTAGTCACACTAAAAGGAGAATAGGTATTAGTGCCATTAAGAAAGTGCTCTGCATAGTGTTAAAGAAAAATATCATTGTGAAAAATATAATATGTAATTTCTATTGGTAACCACAGAATATGTAAATGTGGTATATGGTTCCAATCAATTATCCTCTAATGGATGCCCAATTCCCTGCCATGTTGTCTTACATTCTAAAGAGTTTGCTGCCAATTTAACTTATTCTTCCTTTTGTGCTCTAAAATCTTAAAGAAAAAGAAAAAAATCCCAGAGCATTCTCAAGAGCTTTTCATTGGGATTGGAGCCAAAAATCACATAGTTGTCTCATGGGATCCTTTAGAGTCTGGCTGGAGAAACCATCAAGGAAGTAAGTTCAGATCTCTATCACAGGCTGCGAGCTAGAGCTTCCCCAGACAAGTCAAGAAGCCAAGTGGGACTGTAGATTAGAATTATTTGAAATCCACAGAGAACAGAGAAAAGGCATTGGGATCTAAAGTGATCCCAACTTTCATAGCTCTGAAGTGTTCCACAAACCCCCATAATTTCCCTAAAGCCGGGAGTTGGGGTGGGTAAGGACTTGGAAACTTAAATGAAGGTGGTGAGTAATAAAAGAAAAGGCAGCTAGTTGGGAGTTCCTGACAATTTCTATCAGAATTGAAACATTGTTTTTCCTTGCTACTCTACATAACAGAATTTTTTTTCCAAAATTCACTTCTTCCCTGTCTTTTAGTCAGCCTGTATTAATGTCCAGTTTAGCTTCTAAATTTTTTAAAGCTTTTTAAGCCACTGTCAATATATAACCAGTTAAATATTTTTGCTCTCTTGTCAAAGACATGTTAATCTTAAACTGGTCTTTTTAGGATGTTTAGAAACTATGGAAAAAAAAAGATCAAATTTCTTAAATTACTGAGTTCAGATTTAAATGACCTCTGTCCAACATACACAAAAGTTGATCTTACAACTTTACTTACTTTTAGTGACAACTCCCTCCAGCCTAATGATATTGGGATGGTCAAATTGTCCCATAATGCTTGCTTCTCCCAGGAAGTCTCTCCTTTGCTTTTCAGTGTAGCCCACTTTCAAGGTCTTGATGGCCACTGAAATCTCTTTTTTTGATGGGAGTTTTAAGCGACCACTGCACACCTCTCCAAATTCACCTGTTAGAATGCAGAAGAATGAAGGCCAACAAAAAATCTCTCTATATAAAAAGCCAGCAAATGAACACCAGAACAACCAGAAAAAGCAGTCGCTGTGACACCCACTATGGCCAGCGGACCAGCCCAATGGGGAGTGGGGGGCCAGTGGCCAACCTCCTGCAGCCCCTTCTCCCAGCCAGCTCCTTCCCCAATCAAACCACCCAATCTGATCAGGGGTAGGTCTGGCTGGCCAACTACCCATGGCCCCTCTCTCAGGTTGCTGACCCCCAATAGGTCCCTCCAACCCCATTCAGGGGCAGAGCCTGCTGTCCCATTCCCCACAGCCTCTGCCCATGGCCTGCCCCACCCCCAATCAGCCCCCACCAGCTCAATCTGCCCACGGCCCCTCTCCCCAACAAGCTCTGCTCCTGATCAGCCCATACCAATTGGGGTTGGGGTTGGCCACCCAACACCCACGGCTCCTCCCCTGGACCCATTTGGGGGTAGGGCTGGCCAACCACCACCCATAGACCCTCCCCACAGCTGTCCCTATCCCCAATCGCTCCCCCCACCCCAATCAGGGGCATGGCCCCCTGGCCAATTGCCGGCAGCCCCTACCCCCAGCTGGCCTGGCCCTGATCTGGCCCCAACTGGGGCAGGCCAGCCAGCCAACCTCCTGCCATCTACTCCTCTCAACAGGCCTGGCCCTGATCTGCCGATTAGGCTGGGCTGGCTGGACTCCAACTGTGCATGAATTCGTGCACTAGGCCTCTAGTCATATAATAAAAAATCAGTAGAGAACAATTTTTTCCTTTTAATAATTGTTTTCAAAATATTTAAACCTTTGGCCAGTAAGATGTACACTGTAGGCTTCCAAATTATTTTGGAAGCTGGTAATCTGAGCCTCCCTAAGAAGCTCCAGGAAATCTACACTCGAGTAGTAAATGGACATTGTGATTAGCCTCATATATTTTTAAGTAGCACATTGTGAATAATGTAATATGAAAGAATATGGGACAGTTGAAAGCTGTATCTATTAGACTTTTTACTCCTTGTTCTCATAGCTACCATTTCCTCAGGGTAATCCACAGACCAGCACAAGCATGGGTTGAGCATTGAATGAAATTTCAGATGTTTCTAACTTTTCTGTTTTTACTAAGAGGGCCAATTAAACTATATACTTCGTCTCTCTGAAAATGAAACCATCTGCTATCAATTCATTTTATTAGAGTATCAGCGTATTGCATTATTGACACAGTTATAAAGTTCTCTGGGCATCTGGAAGGAGAACAATAATATAACAGCATGAAATAAAAGATACCACATTTTATTTTGCCCTGTTCAGTGTTACTCAGTTGACTGGGTGGTGTCCAGTACACCAAAAAGTCACCAGTTCAAATCCTGGTCAGGGCACATGCTCAGGTTGCAGGTTCAATCCCCAGTAAGGGGTGTGTAGGAGGCAGCCAATATTTCTTCTCATCTCTCTCTCTTTCTCTCTCTCTCTCTCTCTCTCTCTCTCTCTCTCTCTCTCTCTCTCTCTCCCTCCCTTCCTTCCTCTCTAAAATCAATGTTTAAAAATGAAAAAAAAACAACAAAAAATGATACCACATTTTATCTATGGAATCACTGTAGAGATATATATTTTAGACTCAATAAAAACTTTCTTAAATGAATAATTAATCCACAATTTGTTAAATATAAAGTGTTGCTGATTTTACATAGTCTAATGCAATTGGTAAAAAAAAAATGCCTAGAACTAGTGTGAGCACTGCCTTCATACCCATTGTGTTTGAGATTTGCTCTTTCAGTGGATTTTTAGCTTCTGGAGAGCAGAGACCCTTCACATTCTTTCCTTTGTCCCCACTGCTGCCATAGCAGTAGCCACAAAGCAGTGCCATACATATCATGTTTCATCTTCACAGAAGAAATCTTAATATTGTGCAAATTATTAGACATTTAAAATCTTTTTAAAATTTCTAATAAGAGGGATTTCTCTTTGACAAAGATTAAGTACATGCTCAATTTTCAGAATGTGTGTGGAATGTAGTAATATTTTTGGTCGAACCTTCTCACTGTGAGTTTTTGTACAAGCGCCATGCCCCACTGGTCAACCAGAAAGAAGGTGTCAAGAAGTGAGATGGTCGTGATGATCAGTGTGATAGCAAGATTAATGTCATATTTGACCAGTACAGTGGGGCCTTGACTTATGTATTTAATTCGTTCCGTGATGGAGCTCGTAACTCAAATTACTCGTATGTCAAATCAACAGTGAATGAGTGAGACACGTGATGCTGGGCTGATGTTGTGGCGTTCACTGTGATGTTCGCTGCGCCAGCTAGCGGCCGGGTATCTGAAGCTGGCTCGTAACCAGAATTTTAGCTCCCAACTCAAAGCAAAAAAATTGGCCGAGAGATGGCTCGTATCTCAAAAAACTCGTTAGTCGGGACACTCCTAAGTCAAGGCCCCACTGTGTTTGTAAAGGACCACCTTTTGTAAAAGCACTCCTCACTAGGGAGACCAAAGGGAAGAGTTTGAATTTCAAGTGGACCACTTAGAGTTTCTTTCTATGTTCTCATTGGGATACCTGTACGTATACATCTACCTTCAAAATTCAGAAAATAGTGTTTCAGTAATGGTAATTTATAAAAATTACAAAATTTAGAAATGTGATTATTTCATCAGGTAGATATTAGAAATATTTATTTAATGCTCTTTAAAATAATTTTAAAAAACTCTTAAAATTTTAACAAAGACTGGGCAAATGCAATGTCTGACCTTTCTACTTAGCCCAGTTTTACCTGGCCATATTCAATTAACTTTTCACCTATAAGAAAGGAAATTTAGATTCTGTTATTTCTATGTGAAAGCACAGTTACAGGAGGGTCACTTAAAAAGATACTGCTTGGTTTTTTAATTCAATAAGTGCAGCACTATTTGTCTTTTGGAAGAAAGTGTGATTTATGAGAATTAAAATACTGTTCTGATTTAAGATGCACAATGCAAAATTGCTCAAAGTAAATTTTCTTACACTAATTTCATTTAAAATAGAGGGAAAATGTACTTTAAGTAGAATGACCCTCTGCACTAGCTTCAAAGCCCATTCTCCTTCTACTGTATTAATAAAAAATCATAATAAAAATACATAAGAAACAAGTTGATATGTCAGCTAAGTACTATACACGAACTATCAAATTAATCCTCACAAAAATCTAGAAAAGGTGTATTGTGATCATCAATGTGTAGCATGGACTTTGAAGTTGAAAAGTACACATTTTCAATTTTGGTTTCCTAATTAATAGCTATGTGACCGTGGACCATTCAAATGTTCACCTTTTGTTTCCTCATCTGGTGAAATTAAGATACCAATACTTATCAACAAGGCTAATAAAATGAATGCTTAGCATAGACTATGAGTTAAATAAATATATTCTACCTTTAGAAAATTTCAGTATTTAAAATTTGAAATGATAAGTTTGGGGAATAAAATTAGGAATTTCTGTTGTACCCATTTCAATTTATAAAAATCTCTGACTGAAAATTAGAGAATTAGCCCACAACTATAGAGTCTTTCTGTATTTGTCATTGACTGTGAACTTTCTGTCATTTACCAAGATATTCAACCCCTTTAACAATAGAAGATAGTTGCTAATCAATTTAGCACAAATATTCTTCTTTTATGTACAACCTTATTTGTAAAAGTTAAAAAGGATGTAGAAACTGGGTAAGTGTATAGATGAAAAAGAGCTGGCCATAAGTAGATTGTTATTGTAGTTGCTGTGGAAATGGGTGTATGATAGTTCATTATACTCTTGCACATTTTCATCTATTCTTGTAGATATTTAAAATTTTACAACAAAATATTTCAAAATCTTGATTTCATAATTTATAATGTAATTGGTAATGCTGAGCCTTTACACTGAGGTCTCCCAGGACAAGCATAACTGACTTTGAAGATATACCCATTTGCAAACTAAATAGGCATTGCTTTGTTGCCATTAATGTGACAACTGACTGAATAATCCTGAAAATGGGGCGTATGTCTAATTTCTTTACAAATATGTTTGAAGAGAAAAAAAAAAAAGAGGGTCTGTCCTAATCTTTAATTAGGGATTACTGAATTAGTATAAGTAGGCTTTTCCTTTATCTCATTTATCAGATACCATTTTTAATGAGTGTGCTTTGTCTCACACCCCTGTGAAATAGATCCCTGGCTTTTTGAATAGCTTCTGCATATGTAAGCTTTAACTTATGTGGAGGGTCTCAGATTTCAATGCCCTAATGCAGCGGTTCTCAACCTGTGGGTCGTGACGCCTTTGGAGGTCGAATGACCCTTTCACAGGGATCGCCTAAGACCATCCTGCATATCAGATATTTACATTATGATTCATAACAGTAGCAAAATTAAAGTTATGAAGTAGCAACGAAAATAATTTTATGGTTGGGGTCACAACATGAGGAACTATATTTAAAGGGCCAGAAGGTTGAGAACCACTGCTAATGTGTCTGTCTGGCTTTCCGGACCTTGGACCTTGGCCTAGAAGAGTGGGTTTTTCCTCCTGCCAGTTGAGCACTCAAAGCATTTGTGTTGCATATGCTACTGCAGCTTCCATGGTGGAGAAGACTGCACTCTCCTGCAACATTAAACAATGATCAGAAGCCTCTGCACCATAGAGCAGTACAGGAAGCAGAACTGCACAAATAAAAGAGTAATCACTATAGAACTCTTGTAACTGGATAAGACGTATGGTGAATATGTTCATTCTTACATCTTAGACTATGAAAAGAAGTCACTCTAGTTTGTTATTATGAATCACTAGCTGAATGTTTTCATATGTACTATTGATTTCATAGAGAGGAAGGGAGAGGGAGCGATAGAGACATCCATGAGAGAACATCAATCAGCTATCTCCTGCTCGTCCTCCATCCAGGATCAGGCCCACAACCTGGCCATGTGTCCTGAGGTGGGATCAGACCTTCAACCTCCTGATGCATGGGGAGATGCTTAACCAACTGAGCAATGCTGGCCAGGCATTAGATGAATATTTTAATATTGCCTACACATGTGATGTTTAAGATGATACAACATTGAGCAAATTAGAAGATAATTTTTTTACAATTTTATAATACATCATCTGTATATTGCATTGTGTGTTCACCACCTCAAATCTCCTTCTAGTAGAGAAAATTTAGTAAATTATCATTCTCTTTAGATAATGTGAATTACTCTGATTTTCCTGGATAATAGGAAATACTGCTTGAGTTCTAAATACTGCTTTGGTGTATATATATAAAAAAAAAAAAAACAGCATAAGACATTAGATGCCCATTTGTATAAAGAATCATCAGTCATAAATATACTACTACAGAAAATGTGTTCTGATGTATTATGGATAATTCAATAAGCTAATTTTTCAGTCTTTCTATTTCCCACATCAAAATAACTAGTTTGTGAGGTTTTCTTTTTAGACCAATATTGAAGAATGAGATGATGGTATAAAACTATAAATGCACATTATTGTTTATTTTTATTTTGGAGTAGTAGTTTTGTTCAAATTCACACTGCGTGTACTATGGATGTTCATATGTTATGTCTCAGTGTGTAAAATAGTTATTTAATAACTTTCTATAATTTTGTTAAAAATATGCAACAGCTGTTAATAATCACTTGAAGGGTATTTATGAATTTATGGTACAGCAAAATTACTGTTTAGAAAAAGATATTTCTATATGAAAACAAGCTTTGACACAAATAAATTAATAGTTTATGAAGTTATAGGCAATCATTAAAATGGAGCACTTCACATTTAAACTACTCAAACTAATTGTCATGAAATTTGTGTTTTAGAATGTTTCATTTATGATATTATTCTGTGTTGTCTATTTTTTAAAATTCTGAAGAGGATTCTAAAATTACCTTTTTTCTACAAATCCCAAATTCCACTTAGTGGGCTTAAAGTAAAACACACTTTATCCTGTTATCCCTGTTTAGCTTAATGGTCTTTGTGACACATGATCAGCGTAGCCTTGGGAAGACTGAGCTGTTGCTGCTGCCGCCTCTGAAATTCAATAAATAAAAAGCTGGCCTGTGGTCTGTGAGACTGTAGGTCTGGCACCTTTGAAATCACTACATTCCATTAAATACTCCATTTATTTGTTGCTTGCCTTTGATCATTAAGTCAGAAAATGTTCCTTTTCATAGTAATATACAGGTGGAGCAAAAGTGGGTTTACAATTGTTTGTATAAAAATAATGCAATAATTAATAAATATTAATACAAGAATAAACTTTGTGTTTCACATACTCATAACTGTAAACCTGAGAACCTGAGCGATTTCAGGGACAATTCTTTTTTTCCCTTTTTGTAATCTTTATCTGAGGATGTTTACTGATTCTAGAGAGAGAGGAAGGGAGAGAGAGAAACATGCCGACCGGGGTTCTAACCACAACTTAGGTATGAGCCTTGGCAGTGGGCTGACCCCACAAGCTTTTTGGTGTACGCAACAATGCTCCAACCAACTGAGCGACCCAGCCAGGGCGTCAGGGAAAAGTCTTATTCATAGTTGTAAACTTGTAACTGACATTGTAGGTTGGCAGTGAGGTATCCTGTGGTAGTTACCTGCTCCAACAACTTTGTCAATGGATATGTTGGTGGCGTCCAATTCCTTAGCAAACTCATGAACTGCTTGAGTAGGGTCTTCATATGTATGTGGATCAACGTAAGTTCTGAGACCTGGAAGTTTTACTGTTTAAAGGAGAGATGAAGAAATATTATTGTAGCTAGGTTTAAAAACCTTGTTGAACAAATTTTATAACATTATTGGTTAAAAACAATCCCCATTATGATAAAATGCACCAAACCTCTAGTTGATTCTGAGATATCACAGAAATCAGCAGAGAGGTTGGACTAAGTACTGACAATTTAATAAAAAATATTCCCCATAATGAAACGTAAAGAGGAACCACAATGAGCTTCCTCTGTAAAAACACTAGAAGAAAAAAGAACTTTGAAGGAGGGGGATCTTAAAGAGAAAATGGTTCAAAATTGTGTAGGTCCAGTAATTTCATAGTAGCATTAGTGAGCAAACACCAACACCCTGTAACACCTTTATGATTCTACAAACATAACCAAGTATCTATTACAATGCCACATCTGACAATAAATAAAAGTGTATAAATATTTTCATAAGGTTGGATAAGTGCTGTAATACAGATAAATTAATTAAAGGATATAAAATGGTATGTCTTCTCTCAGATACTATTCTGCTTTTATTAAAGTATGTTCACAATCAAAATCCCCCAAAACAACTCTAGGTCTACTTTAAGCTGTGAATTTATGTATATACTAGAGGCCCATTGCAAGAAGATTCATGCAAGAATGGGCCTTCCTTCTTCCCCTGGCTGCCGCTCCAGCCAGAGCTGGAGTGGCTGGGGTGGTGTGGCACGCCTGCGTCGTTGCCATGGCGATGATGCAAGTGTCACGCCCTGCCCCCAGCCTCTCAGCGCCTGCATATGCAAATTAACCCGCCATCCTTGTTGGGCTAGTTTGCATACTCACTCCTGATCGGCTTGTGGGTGTTATGAAGGTATGGTCAATTTGCATCTTTCTCTTTTATTAGTGTAAATAATGTGGGTATTGCATGTATATAGTAATATAGCATCAACTAAGTGAAATCTTATTGTATAGCTTTTCAACATAGTTAAAGGCAAGGTAAGTATTTATATACAGGCTTAATAATGGTGCTAAGGAGCTAAATTCCAAACATAAATCATATTAGAGCTTATTGAATATAACCCCCCTTTTTAATTTATTTTATTATTCTAAATGTGAAATTTTTCATGATATTCTGCAATTCAAATAGCAAAGACAAAAGATATTAAAAAAGTCATTTTGGATTTGATTTAATATTAATTATATTTCTATCATTTGGAAAAATAGCTCATATTAAAAACAATTTGGAATGTTCAATAAACTTTTTAATGAAAGAAAATTAAGTTTTTAAAAAAGTAAGCTTAAGAGCTATTAAAGTACATAAAGATGCTCTAACATTAAAGGAAATTGTAATTTAACTCCTATAGTATATGAATTCACATTACTGGTTTTTCTTTTAATTTTAATAACATTGGTATTCCCATTGATCACATTAGAATATCAAATGATTATTTTATCCTAAAATAACAAAGAACATAAGACTTTATCTTTTCAAAATCATTTTATAGTGAAAGAATGTTTTTGGCAAAATTGCAACTGAACATTCTGTGATAGTCAAAAATGTCTTCGCGTCAGTGTGTATTTTGTACAGAAGAGGTGTGGGAACCAATGACGGCAACCACTCTGAGAAAGGTCAGCACAGTGGACATTAGACCAGCGAGTCCAGGACTGCAGTTTGGCTACAAAATGATCAGTGTGTGGACCTACAGTACAACTTCAGGAATTCCGTGGTTACACCATATACTTTTTGCTTCTGCAAAGCTTCCATAGAGGTTTAAGTAAAAAATTATAGACATAAAATTTATTTCCAAAAATGGCGACCAGAAGAGATGGGAGGTAAAACTCTATTTTCCTCACTACTTCTTCAGATGATTGTGAGATAGCAATATAGAAATGGGAGAGGGAGGGAGCAAATGGAGGACCTTGGAGAAGGAAGCTCTTGAATACTTGTTACTCAAATGCCTATCTCCAGTACCTGTGATGTAGTTAGTGCCCCTAAATGCCATCATTAGTATTTTCACAATTATTACTATCACTGAGGTTTCCTGGATACAGAATTTGGGCTCATAGATCAGTTTTCATACTTTGCCATTATTATAAACATTACCGCTTCCTATAAAAACAGACAGCAGAGTCACTCTTATAATGGTCCACTATAATTTATTACTACACTAAAACTACTCCTAGCATTATCGGTACTAAAACACTTTATCCTTAAAACAAGAAAACATATTAAGGAAACCTATAATACCATGAGAAGAAAAGCTTAGGAGTAAGGAAAACAATAAAAGTAACCATAGACACTCCAAGAGATGTTAGGAAATAAAGCCTTGTGTCAGAACTTGTTTAAGTCAATTAGGTTACATTTTAATAAAGACTCACATCAAATGGAGGCTATGATTTATGATCAATCCGTTTTGATTTTTCTCTAGTAATAATAATAGCAAGATAAGAAAATGGTAACATCAGAAGAAAACCTAGCTTTTTTTCCAAGAAAAAAAATTCAAAATAAAGTAAAAAAAAATTATTCTGGTAAACGACTACAAATATCTTACCTGTTTTAACTTAAGGACATAAACTTGTGAGAGATTTACTGACATCAGAATTTAAAAAGAAGATTATGAAATGAATGGTCAGAAACAATGTCTCAAATATTATGACTGGATTTAAAAAGCCTTGAAATTGTGCTTTAGAGTGACCCCTCAATAGCAAATAATCTGAAAATTAAATAATCATTTCCAAATAAAACCAACTGATTCATTCTGACGAATTAAAATGAAGTATATGGCTTTTCTATCCACATGACATTTGGGGAAACAATATAAATATGCATGCACACACACACACACACACACACACACATCCTCAAGTAAAATGACTTGCTCACTGTGGTAGTGTTGGCTGCTGATTTTTAACTGCCGACCCCAGAGATTCCGGGAATCAGGTGAGTCAGGATACAAGGCACGTAATCCCCCCACACCAATAATTAAGGGCAACATACAGAGTAACTGGGCTGTGTCAAGCAAACCAGATAATAAACACATGCACACGTGTTAAGCTGCACTACTTTACAGCTCGTTCTGTGCAAACACAATAATTTACATTTCCATTTTACCAGCATGAGTTGCCCTAAGGATAGCAAAAACGTAGAAAGACTCAGTCAGAGAGGGCAATGGGACAGGATCTTAGGAGGTGAAACACATTACTTTCCTTTTGAAGCTATATTATGGGATTTGTAACAAGGCTGGGGGGAATAGTTCATAGCTCAGGCTTTTTAAGGTAATACCAATAAATGGTCTGAAATAAACCAGCTGTAGTATTAAGACGCAGAACGTTTACGGCATGCATATAAGTTACTTTGTGCCCTTGCAGCTAGGATAAAATGCATTTCTTTTTTGTTTGTCTATCAGAAAGATATTGTGCATTTGAAGAAAATTAAAGTTTCAACAAACTTTACCATAAAAACCAGCAGCTAAAACAGATCAGAGCGATAAAAGAGCCTACGTACAATTGGCTCACAGGAATATATCAATGCTCTCAATTCATGAGATTTATAATTCCCATATAAAGAACAAAATCAGTATGGTTTTGCTCTAAAAACAATATTTACATTGATTGTCCAACTCAAATTAAGAGCAACTTAATCCAAAGGAATGTAACTGTTGTGAGTAACTTAAGCATGGCAATTTTCAGTGTTTTGAGAGACCAGGAAGAAAAAGCTAGACAAGTATCCTGTAATTTGTTCACGTACACTTTGAGGGCTTTTGAGTTTGTAACCTAACTAATCTGGAATGATGAAATGTTGATATTAGAAAGGTAGTAGTTTGTGGGTTCTTTTTGTGAATTATTTTATAATGACAGCAATGAGGACAAAACAAACAATGCTCTCTGTAAACTCTGGTGCTGGGTCAATATCACATCAATTTACATTTGGATTTTTTTTTTTCTTCAAGCTACTCTATGCCTCTTGCATGTTAGCAACAGGTAATCAAGTTTTTATTGAGTTACAACTAAAACTATAATTTTTAGATGCAAAGCTAATGACTGATAATGAAGTATCACACTGACTTAAAAATAATTTGGCAAGGCTATAGTGAATGCCAAAGAAAGGAATGTTTACAAAACTGCACTAGTTATATTGAGATTATTTGAAACACATGAGCATGAATATTGTCTCCATACTAATTCCCATGAGAATTAAGGCCACTGATTAGTAATTTCCACATTAAACTGAGCCATAGTCTGGAAAAGCAAAGAACTTGGGATGATTCGTTTCACCAGAAAAAAACAAAAATGCAGTCTGTTTATTAGACATAAACACTTTGTTTTCTAAAAGAGTATTTCTCTTAGAAAATATTTTTTCAAATACTAAATTGGTTGGTATTAAAATATAGGGGGAAAGGGCTGGCTTTCCTACTGATTGGATATCATGTAACTCCAAAATAAACAGTTTATTCTCCTGGTTGGCTGACAAAATGGAGTGAGGCATTTCACATAAACAGAGGTTGTTTCTATTTACCTGGCAGTTAGGACGGAAAAAAGGATCCTATTTACATTTTAGCAAAGGACTAGTAAGAAGGAATTTGAAGATACGCTTTGCCTTTCAGCTACGCAAAGCTGACTGCAGTTCTGACTCCTGTCATGTGCACTATTTGAATATAACCTCCCAGTTACCCTCCGCTTTAGCTTAAATCTGCTTAAATCTGGCCATGCAAGAATTCCCTGATGTAGAGGCATGCATTTTCTTCTCTGTTTAAAATAATTTTAATTTGCTCATTCCACCCCTCCACCCCCACCCCCCAACAACAAAAAATACTACTTTTGAATTATCTTTGTCAGGAGAAAGTTACCCAATTATAAATGAACCACTGCCAAAACCGAAATGGTAAAACCAAAACACCGTAACACTTTAAAACTTACAATGTCCATTCCCAAAATGAAGTCTTTTTTCATCTGCACCATGTTTTGACTTGTTATAGCCACAGAACCTAGAGGGAAATTGAGGGAAGAGAACACAGGAAGAAAATATACTTAAACAATTATCTATGCTCAGAATGTACAAAGCAGAAAATATAAAGCGTTTTTCTTAAACAATTAAATGCTTTAGTGAAAGTTTAATGACTTTGTATTTCCTAAATCCTTTATAGAAAGCCCCTTGCCCAGGGGACCCTGGAAGCTGCCTAATGAGGAGATACGGAGAGCTGCTTCCCACTGTGCAGACCCCTTCAGTTGAATTTTTATAATGGCCCCAGAAGGTGTTTATAGCATTTTTTTTTTAACCACTGCTGCTAGAATGAATGAAGGGTAAAGTCTCCATTGTTAGTGATTAATGCGGTTCTGGGTGAGAAAGTGTCAGGGAAATCTGGGGTGTATTTTAACAGTGAGGGGGGAAAGTGAAACCTAGGAATGTGGTCAAAAGAGAGAAGAGACGGGGTGTGTATTGGAGAGTGAGGCCGGAAGTTAATGCAAAAAAGAAAACCAAAACTAAAGATGAGGAAACAGAAGGGAGAGGGGGATAAAAAGAAAGATCTAGAACACAAATGGAGCCATTCTGCTTTGTTAACATACATTACTGAGCACACTTCAGACTTTAGCAGCAATTGGGGGGAGCAAGCAAAGCAACAATAAAAGTAAGTTATAAAACAGACTGCGAACTCACCTTCCAATCAGAACGTAGGTGACGACTGTGAGGAGAATAATTGCTACCGCTGCTGAAATGGCAATCATTACTACTTGGCTATTTTCACCAGAGATAGAGAAAGCTGTGAGATTGAAGAGAAAAAAAAAAATTAAAAGACCAGGCATTCACACATCATAACCAAAAGCTACATGGAAAATCTGATAAAGTCAGTCATATTTATTCTGCTTCCACCTGAAATATGGCTACTGTCTGGTATAGTATAGAAGTAATTCTTCAGTGAGAATGAAAAAACAGACATTTACTACAATTTTGTGTGAAAATTTTAATTAATAAGATTAAATATTCTGTCTCAATGGCATTAATCAAATACTACTTGAGTCTACTGTGTGAAATGTGCTGGACTGCTTCTCTCTATCCTCAATGGCAAGAAATTCAATGGATACACCGGATAAATATCTTATGCTCAGCAGAGGAACAACATAGAGAACAGACATGATTTCTCAGAATGAATTATAAAAGCTTTCTAATTAAGCTAGTTTAGTCTCCAATACCTACATTTATTTGAAAGGCGATAAAACAGCTGTCTTATGGGCCTCAACATATGCCACCAATGCATTGTCCCTCACCCTGTATTCTCTACCTTTGCAAATGGCCCATCATTCATCTACTCACAAAGTGTTGGCAAAAGTCACCCAGGAGCAAATTCTGGCCAGCCATCAGTTTTGGTATAACTCAGGAGCTTAGAATGGTTTTACATTTTGTAAAGGTTGCAAAAAGTCAAAAACAGATGATTTTGTGATTTGAACATTTTACAAAATTTAAATGTTGGTGACCATAAATAAAATTGTTTCGGAGACATTCATTTATTTGTATATTGTCTATGGCTGCTTTTATCCTATATAATAAAATTCTAATATGCAAATCGACCAAATGGCAGAATGGCCAGGAGCTATGCAGTGCAGTGACCACCAGGGGGCAGATGCTCAATGCAGGAGCTGCCCCCTGGTGGTCAGTGCGCTCCCACAGGAAGCCAGGCTCACTGCTGGCAAGCTCAGTGTCAGTGGTGGGAGCCTCTCCCACCTCCGATAAGGCGGGCGGTAAGGAGCGAGGGGTCCCTGAGTGGGAGAGCCCGGAACTGTGAGACGGATGTCTGACTGCCGGCTTAGACCGGATCCCCGGGCCTCTAGTACTATAATAAATAGCCCAGTAGAGTAAGAACAACAGAGACCATATATACACAAAGCCTAAAATATTTACTATCTAAGCCTTCACAGGAAGTTTACTGACCCTTGACTAGACAAATGCTTTCTAGCTTTAATGTTCAAACAAGCCACTCAAGTATCTTTAGGAAAATGTAGTTTCCATTTCAGGCTGGGGTGGGGCCTGAGGCTGCATTTCTTACGAGCTCCCAGTGATGCTGACGCAGGTGACGCAGGCCACGTTTGGTGGCAAAGGTGTGGACCATGAGTATGAAGTCACCTTGTCCCCTTCCTCTCCTGATGTTCTGTGTCCAATTCAACACAAAGCCTTTAAGATTTCTTAGTTTTTGTCTTTCTCTTCTGGATTACAATTGGAAAGTCCTAATTAGTTTCTATTTGCATGTGTTTCTCTTTACCTGGTGACCAGAGTACTCTTTCTAAACCATGAATTTGATTATGTCATTATAATGCATAACATTTCTGCAGGGCTTTCGGCTTTCAGGATACAATGCAAATTCTGTAGCAGAAGATGTAAAGCTCATTAAGTCTGTCCCCGTCTCAATCCCCAGCTTCGTCTGCTAACAAACTCCATGAATGTCCTATTCTAGACTTTTGAAAATACACACAGTTCCTGGAACAACCTTTCAGTTGCTCGTACTTGAACCTCCATTTCTTTTGTAGTAAATGCTGACTCTACAAACGAATGAATGAATGATGTATAAAAGAAGAGCTTAGAAGAGTAAATTTGGTTATCTTAATGCCAACACCTCTCTGAAAGCAAGCCAATATCTTATGCTCAGCCTGATCGAAATCTACATTTAGAAGGTTTCTCTAAAATAATGCAGTTCTAGGACTGGTTAAATGATGCAAATAAAGAAACACGGCTGATGGCCTGGTAGAAGTTTTGCAAGCATTTGAAAAAGGAGCTCTGAGTCTGTAGGATGGCATGCACACTCCTAACATAAACTGTTGCCGCACTTTATTCTCTCCTGCCAGCGGACTATTGTTTATACCACTGTGGCAGTCCTGGGAGTGCTTGCTTGGATCTCCCTGATGCCAAGCCTCAGTGGGCAGACGGCCTCCAGCTGCTGCACCTCCGGCATCCCCTGCAGCCACATGCACAGCACAGGCCATGCTTTCCAGTGACTACACCTGGCAAGGGGACTGGAGTCAGCCCAGGTCTGCCCAATGCAGCACTCTCCTTCTCTCTGGAGCGACCCATCACATTGGTGAATCCCTCTGAGCTGCCCTGCTGTCTGAGACTCCTCTTCCTCACCCTCTTCTTTCCCTCAGTTCTTCACAGATGGCTGAGCTCCATGAGGCGCTGCTTGCCCACTTCTGCTCCAGATTTTTTATCCGTTATCTGTGTTTCCCCATAAAAAGCTCTCATACTTCTATCTTAACATCTGCTTCCTAAACACTGGGACTGATATATCCTACCCATTAGCTATTTATTTGTGAATAATTTGTAAAATAACTTAGAGATTCAATAATGCTCTATAAACATATACACTTAACTCTACCTCATGCTTTTTATTTTGTACACTGTTATAAATTACAGAGAGCAGAACGTTCTGAATTATTTGGTAAATTTTAGTCAGTTTTAAAAATAAAGGTTGCAAAACTGGAAGGGGAAAAATGATAGAAGAAAGAAGTCGCTGTTGTTCTGTCCAAGACAGGATTAAACTAAGACTTCTCTACCATCTCCACCTGCTCTCAAAATCTATGAATCCCTGAGACATATAAAATCAGATCATGGTTTGTTACCGGGATGAGCAAACATTTGAATGCATAAAGTGATTAAATTTGTGTTATTGAGTTGTTTAATAATTTTACGTGGCATACTGTTAAAACTAATATTACATGTCTTAGAAATTCAATTTAAATATGTTTTCTCACAAGCAAACTGCTCTCCTTGCTTCAAGTAGCATTGTGTTGATTTCTTTCCCTGAAATCGAGTGGCTGTGAGCTCACTTTTCTGACCCAGAACACCCAAATTTGTACTTAATTGCTGTGTGACATAATGTGATCTTGTGAGGATTAAACGAGTGTTAAAGTAAAACACTTATGTAGAACTGTCCCAAGTACATAGCAAGTGCTTAGTAAATGTTACGTATTTTTAGTATTGCATTTCCCCAGTGAAAGCTGGGCAAAAGTACTCTCTTCTACAAAATTACATATGAATGTCTAGTGTTGGTATATAAGAATTCTCTATATAATGATCCCAGTCTACCTTTGTCAGTCTGCCTTAATAATAGGGTCCCGGAGATTAAAGTTGCTGCAGGTCAATGTATTAAAAATAACACAAAGGAGGTGGGAAGTACTCAGGAGTACTAATTAAATTCTCCCCAGGGCTCATCTTGGATAGTAATGTTCATGGAATCCTCCAATTCCAAAACTCAGTTTTATTCCACATATTTTTGCTTTTAAAATTCCTTGGATGCTCAAATTATGCACTGCTGTTTAAACACAACACACACAAATACTCTCTCTCTCACACACACACACACACCACCTACTATACCAGGAACATTTGTAAGTACTTTACAAATAATGATTAATTCAATCACCATAGATGCCTTATTGAGGATTCAGGTTCTGCCCACCGAGGGTTTTCAGACAGATGGACTGTCTGTTTTCCCAAACATGTTGGCGCTTCCTGCTTTTGGGGATGTTGCCTTTATCTAGGAAAGTCCTTTGACTCGGATACTTCCTATGCTTTCTGTGTCTTAGTTTCACATCCTTTTCTTAGTATGTAAACTAGCAGGGCTGAATCAGTAGAAGTTTACAATCTGGAGGTTGTAGGGCCATTGACCGCACTTACTAGCCATGCAACCTCAGAAAAAAACATAAATTCTCTGTCATAGACAGTGTATAAAAAGAAATAATAGTATTTGAATAGCTTGCAGAACAAGTTCAAATAAAATGTTTATTGAAATACTATATTATACTGTCATATACATGTATGTGTTCTGGAATCAGACCCCTCCCTACCAGCGGTGCGCCTTTGGGGAGCTTACTTAGCTTCTCTACGTCTCAGTTTCCTCATCTGTTAGGGGAGGGTGATAAGTGTAAAGCACGGATATATAAAAAGCAAAACATTTTTAAGCACCTGGAAAAATATATGCTTCACTGTGCATCTGTGTCTTTATTATAAATCAAGTTCAGAAAATGTTATCTGATTTCCAGCTCAAAATATATTATACTCAACTAAGAAAGATTTTTTGTGCTATGAATGAGAACTCATATAATTTTTAAAAATAAAAACAAGCCCTAGGTGGTTTGGCTCGGTGGCTAGAGTGTCGGCCTGAGGACTAAAAGGTCCCAGGTTCGATTTGATTCTGGTCAAGGGCACATGCCCGGATTGCAGGCTCAATCCCCAGTAGGAGGCCTTCATGAGGCAGCCGATCAATGATTATCTCTCATCAATGAGAGAGAAAAACATCGATCGGCTGCCTCCTGCACGCCCCCTTCTGGGGATGTGTCCGCAACCAAGGTACATGCACTTGACCAGAATCGAACCTGGGACCCTCCAGCCCGCAGGCTGACGCTCTATCCACTGAGCCAAACCGGTCAGGGCAATAAAAAATATATTTAAAAAATAAACATAAATAAAAATCAGAGCAAACAACAAGCTATTAAAAAAGTCTAAACACAGGCCTTTTTATATCTATTAAATATCAATATATAACAAAGAAGAGTCTTAAATCTTTAGAGTATTTTATGAATATGTAGTTTTGATTTGTGGTTGGAATCTGTCTATGTAAGGACTAACTTAAATTATGTGTGCATTTTTGACTGCACAGGTGGTCGGCGCCCCTAGCCCCCAAGCTGTTCAAAGGTCAACTGTATATCATTTTTATTTTAAAAAAATGGAGTGAGAATTGATTTTATCCTTTTCCTCTTAAAGCAATGGGCACTTTTTCTCATCTATATTTAAAGTCTGGAAGAATCCTATGGTGAAGCAGTAAGAATAAATTTCTATATATTTTTTTAAAAAATCAAACTGTGCGACTCAGCTTTTTAAAAAAATAACTGGAGAGGGAGATGTTAAAAAGATAGTATTTTTCATTTTATTCTCTTTTTATCTGCTCTCTCTCTCAAGCAATGTAAGTACTGCAAATATAAAATTTATATGTCAAAAAGCCTAAGAATCTGTAGTTTTAAAATGGAATATTCCTTAAGTCTCAGACACTGAAGCCTCATAAGAAGTTTATATATAACACAACCACAGCGATGTCTGTGGTAAATATGTAATTACATTAGGATTTTAGAAATTGATATTGTTTTGACAAATGTACTTATCATATTGGGTTAGTGCTAATGAAGAACATATAAGATTAGATTGATATTGCAAAATAATGCATCGACATAAAGTTTTATCTAATGGCAATCTGACATTCCTACCTTCAATATGCCTAATTTATACCACAGGATATAAAAAACATTTGCTTTTGTTATTTCTGTGATTTGGGATCATTCTTGGTGAATCAAATATAGCTAGCTTTTGTTGTTGTTAATTCTAATAACCATGTCAAATCTTGATAAAAGGCAATCTATAATCATTTCAAAGCAAGAAACTAGCTTTGCACCTCTTAAAATTATGAAAGGATATAGAATTTCTAATGCTAAATTGAATGATATTTTCAATTCCTAAAATATGTAATTTGTTTTAAACATTGTTCACTTGCACTCCCGTGGTATTTTACAGCATTTTGTGTCAAGTATCCTCAGCGAGTGGTTTCTCTGTGCTCATCTCATCTCAAGAGGATTAGGGGAGGGCCTGAGAACAGATTTGTGTGTTCCAGGATGGCAGCTCTCCTCCAAATAGATCGTCAGGTTTCAGCTGTGAGCCAATGACTTCTAAAAACACTAGAATCTCAATACTTTGCAGAATGTACAGCTTGTTATTATAAGCCGCATTCCTAATTGTCTGACAAAAAGTGTGCCATAAAACATTTAGTCTAGCACATTAACTTAAACAGTGTTTATATATATTTTTTGTTAATCATGAATGTTTATATTAGGTATAAAATTTGAGCATAAAATTTTTAGCATACCAATAACCATGTGATTTTATGTCAGAAACAAAATAATTATAGAATAGGAAATATAGGTGCCAGGGGAAAATGACAAATTAGAACAGTCAAAAGGGATTACTTGGCTTCCTTTCAGTAGAGAGCTGGGAATTATTACATCCTTCCTGGATAAGCTGTTTCTAAAAGGTGTTCCCCTTTGATTCTGGGCTATTTTACAGCTGTGAATTTAAGTTGAAGGGAACTTAGAGTGATGCATATGATTTTTTCATCACAGTTACAGTGACACTTACTCAATAGAGATGTAATTGATATGTGCTGTGGATGAGATAATCACATTTATTTTCCTATAGAATATTCACAAGTTTGGGATTTATCAAGTTTAATATTGCTGATTACTTATACACAGACACAACTATGTTTGTATGAATGTGTATGTGAATCTGTCCTTTAAATTTTCCTTTGAACCAATTTTAACCTCTCGTTAGTACCATGAAGTCAAATAAAATTTTAGCTTGTGTTCATTTTATATTAGCACCACAGCCATGATTTTATCTTTTGTAAATATATATTTAACAGAAAACTCTTCTAACATGAAGCAAATGCATTTAAATAAAATGAAAATATTATTAGAATAATGTTTGTAAATTTTAGATCGGTTTTAGCCAAACTTGGGGTCAAACAGAAGGGACTGTTCAAATTGTCATAAATCGGATTTTTAAAAATCCTTTCTCTCCAAGTAATACAAGGATTAAAACAAAATTAAGATCCTCATGGATCAGAAAGTTTTTCCAACCAATCACTGAACCTGGAATATCTGTATTAATGGGTAGTGGAAGTGTGTTACCATACTACTTAATGTCTCTAAGAACAATTTATGACTAATAGGGGAACCAGAAGCATTCCCGGCATTGTAATATGTTTTATTTGTAAAAGAAGAAACCACAGATGTGCATACAAACACAAATGCCCAAACCCAATGCTATGCAAATTGTTAAATGCCCCAAGCAGTATACTTTCAGCGCATCACACTTAGTTAGAATGTAGGGAGAGTGAGAGCGAAATATCGGACACCTTTGGAACATCTGCCCTCCCCCAATTACAGTACACTGAAGTAATACATACAGTCTGGACTCGTTTCAAACTCAAACTTGCGACTGTTGGTCCCATATCCAGCTGCTGTCCGGGCTCGGATTTGGAATACGTAAGTAGTGTCAGGCTTGAGGCTATTGATGGTAACATTTGTGCCTCTTGCCCTCAGAATGGTATAACTTGTCTCTTGCTCCTGCTTTGAGGTAAGAAAGATCAAGTTAAAATCAAACCTTCACAATGTATTAAGTGGTGAAAAGTAAACCACTCGAAACTATTTTAAAATTTAGCATGGGGGATATAAAAGAGAGATGATAATCATTTCACTCTCTGAAGGCATTTTTTAGAAAAAAACATTAGTTTCCTAATTTGGATATAATAATTTGTGTCCTGCACATAAAGCAGGGAAGTTAGTTTTCATTCTTGCCGATGAGTGAATCTCTGAGCAAAAATCTGTTCTCTTCAAACATAAGGCTGAAATTTTCAGGCTGATTAGAAGAATACCGTTGCAAAGAGGAAAATGCTCCCTTGCATTGTTCCTAATAAGAATGTCCTACTGATTCTCAAATAGGAAATTTTATCAATTGTAAACTATTAAACTTAAAAAGATCAAAGTTCTATGTATAGCTCTACATTAATCACATTATCAGCATCAATTGAGTTGTGTTGTATTTGCATTGTATTGAAGCCACAGTGATTTAATAGAAACACAAATCCTCAGGTTGAAGTCTAGAAATATTTTCCCAAAGAATCTCATCTAGGAGAATCAATGCATTGTACATGAACAGGTTCACCTTACACATCCATAGTAAAGTCCTTTTTTTGTCAAGCTTTGTTTAAAAAATGAATTTACACAGAATCTCATTTGTTCTCTAACATATATTAATATCTCCTGAGCACTTTATGGAGAGCCTGTTTTTGAGCATGATGGGCCGTTCCTGTATCTGGGGTGGGGTCTGGAGTGGGGGAGACGAAATGATGCTTGTCCTCAACCAACACTGGATGGAACATTGCAGAAATAAGGTTGTATGTAGGTTACATGTACTTTTAGTTAAAGATGCTGGTTATGATAGACATGGAGTTGATTATTTAATAATGAAGAGAGATAAATATATTCATTTTATAAAAATTATTTCATTCGTTATAAAAATTTTCACTAGCCCTCATAGAGTGAAATATTACAATATTTCTAAGTGTCATATATATGGAAGTTATTTTTAAATTGATGTATGTATGATATAAATACTTACATATGTATTTAATAATATTACATAAGTGTACCAATTTTGGAACGCATAGGGAATAGCAAAACAGATTTAGACTTTATTTTTCCTGCACTAGTTAATATTGCTTAAAAATAACCTTGCGTAAATCTTTGTTTGTAGAGAGTAAAATAAGTTCAGAAATGTTTTTATATTTGCAAAAGATATGAATTTAGATTCATTATTTTTTCAAACAGCCCCATATATCTAAAAGGTGGGTGCTTTGTAGTTCTGCTACCGGGCCTGAACTGAGGCACATCATTACTTTTCTCTTTATTTTGTTGCATCAGCTATAATATAGATTCTGTGTTTTCACAGGCTTTGTCACACTTTTAAAGATAGAACATCATGATCAGATGACTATTTAACCGTGCCCTACAGGATCATAGAAAACTAGGAGATAACTTATTTATACTGTGATTTGACCCAGTAAAGTTCATTAGGTCTCTATTCCTTTTAATGAAATGAGACATACCTTCTCTGTGTGTGGTGTGAGTGGTGGGGAGAAGGGGGTAAGAAAAGAATGGCATGATACTTGTGAAATAGGTTAACTTCAATAAAGAAAATACCTACATTTGCAAAAAAAAATTATACATTGTACCTTTTGTGCAATTGATCATACTTAATAATCCATTGTCATGTGGAAGCAGGGAGGCAACAGGGAAACACATACTAATGAGGAGTCATGGCTGCCAGGATTCAACACAGAGGCCTACTGTTCATTAGCAGGGAGGGTGTGAGAAATGCAAATACCTTCACTGACTCCAAGTTTTCTTTTATTTGTTAAAAAGCCTGCTTTCTCACTTTCACAGGGTTATCAGACAGTTCCAAATTAAACAATGTATGCAAACATTTTCTATAAATGTCAACTACTATATAATATGCACTCTAAAATACTTTGTAAACTGCAACATAAATACACAAAAATGTTGTGTCCATAGTAGTAGCTATAAAACCACCCAGTTCTTATGATGAGGTTTGAAAACACCTTGCTTCCAAATCTCACAATCATTTATAACCAGGGAGAAATACGTGCTATTAAGTGATGAAATATAAGAGTCTAAATTCTACTTATAAATAACCATCTACCTATTTTGTACAACTTCATTACTGAACCACAATTTTATGATGTGAGGCAGACTTACACAGCCACTCCCAAATTTCCTTGTACAAAGCCAAGAAAACTTTTCTCTGTCAATTCAATGATAATACATGGGTCTTGTTATTCAATGTTTCTATTAAATAAAATTCATGTGAATGTGTAGGTCAAGTAATGATGCTTTAAGGCAATAAACTAAGGAATAGTTCCTCCAGGGTTAAGGAATCACTATGAAATACTTGGTAGAGCAACAGGTCTTGATGTGGAAGGACATAAATGTCATTTCCAATAACTAGATGTCTTAAGTTTGGTAGTATCATCTCTGCCGTGACTCACTGAAGTTGAATGGGGGATATTCTACACAATAATTTCTAAACCCCTCTTTACCTATAAGTCAAAGAAGTACCACTTAACTACAGATTTAAACAAAGCACTGCCACTTTGTAGCAATGCCGTTCCAGTCTTCGTAAGAGCACAGCTCAGGAGTAGGTAAC